GGTCAACTAGTTTGCTGGTTAACAGAAAGATCACCTCTCCATTAGTGGCCTTGCAACACATTTGTAGTTTGGCTGTCTTGGCTGTAATATAATGCTATACAAATGTATACACAATAAATAGAATTAGACTTGGCAGAACTCAATTTTTATTTTTTATCATTCTGATGGATAATGTCGATGTTCATTTTTAAGCATTTTTTATTTTTATCAATTTAAATTTTCACAGCTGTGGGAAATTATGGAGGGGTGTCAGACAATTATTCAATGACAGTAGATGTTGCGAGTCAAAGTTAAAGCTTTATAAACTATTAAAAACTCAAATTGTTAACATCTTATGTTAAAATGTACAAAATAAATATAAAATCAACAAATCATACCCATTTTTACTATTCCTTCACTAGTCCATTTGTAACAAGTCTAATCCGAAAGTCTAAATCACTGTGATTTTGATTGTAATAAGTTCTGAAGCAGCATTTTTCTCCCTTTGTCTATCTGTACATTTTGATTATCAATGAAAATACTTTTTCATCAGCTTTGTGTGTGTGTACAGTGAAATTGATGTTTCCCACATTTATCAGTAAAAATCTAATGAAGCCTAGATATAATATATTTGGGGTGTGTTCAGAACCAACAGAACAGGTTTATTAAGGGCACATGGCTTTTGTTCCAAAAGCTATTGAATACCTGAAACAAATATGGGATTTTTTTGGTTTTTAAATTTTGATAAGTTAGAAAGAGAGTGATGAAAAATATCACACCTATAGTGAAAATGGCAAAAAATTGTTTCTTCATTTTTGGCAAGGATACACAGTTAATTTTTGGTTCTGAGGTAACTTCCTCTGGAGCCATTCCCTTCTGCTTGCATAAGCTTAGCAAGGTTGGCCTGGTTAGCACTTGATTGGGAGACGCCTATTGAAGTGGCATGACACTCTTCCCTTTGAGCCATTAATGACTTAAATGAATACCAGAGCTCAGCGATATACACCTTGAACTTGCATTCTTCTTAGCATATGCGCAATGTGCTTCAGGTGGCATGTGACCAGGATTCGTCACCAAATTTGGTTTGCTGGTTGGATCATTAACTTCCCTGGCCTAGGCTGGGTACTGACAAGGAGTGTGACATGAACACTGATCCATGCCCCCCAAACTTGCATTGCGGCCCTGATACTTCAATGGGGCTATGCATGGTGGGTAGATCTGCCTATGCAACTGTATCTTGCACGATCAGGGCCCAAGTTAAGTTTGGCCTTGATCAAACATGCTTAGACATGTGATGAGTAACCATACTCATGGGAGTAATCTCATTGCCCCGATCCTGCAGTTGGATTCACATGGAACCCAGTGCATGCACCAAGGGTCTGCCTATCCAGATCTGGCTGGGCCACAGAGTTCAGTGGCACTACTCCCATCTCTGTTTACAGGATTGGGGGCTTGGGCACTGTTGTTACAAGAGGGTTTTTTGCACTGATGTAGCTATGTTGCAAAACCTCCACCGTAGATTCACTACACAAGCCCTGCTTAGCACTGGGGTAGTGTGTTTACATTAGTCATTTGCACCAAGTTACACCAGCGCAAATTTCTCTACTTTAGACAAGCCCTTAGTTAGCATCTGTATTTCCACCGAAGATACAGTGCCTGATTCCCCCTCGCCCTGTACCTTGCATAGTGACTTACACTAGAGCAAAGCAACTGTTAAGTGTTATCAGATTAGAATGATAGTACATTACATCCATTTTTCCCTGATGAAAATCTACCCAAGGGGTAGGGAAAGTGAGAAAGAGGCCTAGTCTACCCTTAAAAATTGGATCGACCTACCTATGTTGCTCAGAAGGACTGAAAAATTTCAAAATAGTAAGGTTGACCTAACCATTGCTGTAGGCGTGGCTAGGTCTACTGAAGAATTCTTTAGTCCACCTAACTACTGCCTCTCAGAGAAATGGATTCATTACCTTGATGGAAAAACCCCTTCCATTGATTTAGGAAGTGTCTACACAATGGTACTACAGCGAGTAGTGGGGCCATAGTGTAGACATACCCTGAGGCCCAAAGAATACTACAGAAATGCTATGCATGGTTACACTTGTCTATTTTTACTACAACTATTAGAAACAAAGGTGGCTTTTTTACAAACAAAAACATTATTAACTTTCAGAGTAGCAGCCGTGTTAGTCTGTATCCGCAAAAAGAAGAACAGGAGTACTTGTAGCACCTTAGAGACTAACTTGTTAGTCTCTAAGGTGCCACAAGTACTCCTGTTCTTATTATTAACTTTGATATGTATTGAGGTCACATTAGTGTTTGTTAATGTTTTTCGTTAGTGATCTTTATAATCATATTACTACATTATTTTCTTTTACCAGCATTACTTGGAAGGATTAGACTTTTATCGGTAAATGTCCATAAAAGTAGATCTCGCCATCC